GCCTTGCCTACGTTCTGTCCTAGTTCGGTTCTCTCGTCTGTCAGGAGGTGAGTAAGCAGCCTCATCCTCCCACCGCCACAGTCAATATGGTGTAGTTCTATGTCTTCCTGCCATGATGGGCAGCAGTCTAAATGAACCTCACCTTCCTAAGGCTGCCTCTGTCAGGAGTCCTGTCACAGTGGACAGAAAAGTAACAAACACAGGGAGCAGGAAATCAGCAGTCTCTCCTGTTATTTATCTATGGAAACATTTGACAGAAGATAAGATTGTAGGAGGACTTTAGGGTGGTGTCTCAGCTTGAAAGACAATGGCAGAGATCCAGTCAAGAGCCTCAGAAAAAAGAACCACAGCCCATGAGCCTCCACCCTGTGTTTCAGCAGAAAAGCTTTCTCTACTTTGTGCTGGGAAAACTCCTACTTGATCTTCAAAACCCAGGTCCAATGTCATCTCCTGGGGAAAACCCTCCATGGCATCTGCTGTGCCACGTGTGTTTCTCACAGCACTGTTTGAGCACTCATTACACAGGGGACATGACTGTCTTTTTGCACTTGACTGTGAGGCTCTCAAAGACAGGAAAGACACTTTGCTTCTGCCCCTGATTCTATGCATACAGGTTTTGATGATAGAGGAAGTAACTCACTGTGTCTGCCATCCTGGGCCAGATGCAGTTTGTACAGGGATGGAAAAGATGCAGTTCAAAGCAAACTTTAAGAAACTAGTGTCTCACCGGCCCTCCCTGCTCACAGCTGCCCAAGACTGCCAACTGGAGAAACCACCACTGCACAGAAGTGAACAGCTCAGCTTTCCAAGCCTAATTTAGGAGATGGTACCTCTACGCTTGACTCTCTAACGCTTGACTCTCTAAATTTAGACAAACAAGAGCCTCCAGAATGCAAGGACTCCGTTGGGGGCCGAAGTGAGTGGCTCATTTTCCTTAAGCAAATGAACAATGTTCCGAATCAGGAGGTTTTTTCTCATGTCTCTCCTGCATCCTCCTTGCTTCATTAATACTCTGTTCACTTTTGCCCAGTCCTAGGAAAGGGGTGATGCAAACAGCTGCTCCTCCGTCATCAGCAGTCTGCCTGACTCAGGGAAGCAGGCATGAGGTCCCTCTTTGTGTGGGGAACGATGCTGATGTGTGGGGAGGATGCTTACAAAAGCGGGCTGTGGTGGGGGAGAAGGAAGCTGGTTTTAGGAGCATCGGGTGAGATGGCTTTGAGCAGCTGGAGAGGCAGAGCACAGGAGAGTCATCCAAATAGCAGGAGGAGAGTTCGCTGTTCATTTGCTCAGCCTGGGGAACGTGTCTGAAGCCCATGGAGATGGAGACATCGGCATGGTAGCAGGGCTGCTTGTCTCTGGAGCTGGGCTCAAATGGACCCTGTGCCTAGGTCTCAAGGTCCTTTCAGGTCCCCATGTGTCTGTCTCTCTGTCTTTCTGTCTTTCTCTGTCTCTCTTTCTCTGTTTCTGTCTCTCTGTATCTCTGTCTCTGTCTCTGTCTCTGTCTCTGTCTCTCTCTCTCTCTCTCTCTCTCTCTCTCTGTGTGTGTTCTGGGGATTGAACACAGAACCATGTGCATGCTGGGTATACTCTACCACTTGAATTATATCCTTAAGCCCCCTTAAGTACCATCCCCCCCTTTTTGAGACAGGGTCTCAGTTTGTAGCCCAGGCTAGCCTTGAACTCACAATCCTCCTGCCATGGCCTCCTGCATGCTGGGATCACAGGTCTGCCTCACCATGCCCGGGTCCCCTTCAGTTCCATTTCTGAAGGACTTCTGGAGAATGTTTTGAAGTCGGTGGAGCTGGGAAGATGAGGAGGATGGTTTCCAATGTCTTTGGGTCATGAAGTAGGCTGAGGGTATGACAGTAAGGGGTAGAGTAGTCTAGAGCCCTCTATTACTGGTCTCCAGGTCAGAGCCCTCCAGGCAAAACTGCTTACTCATCTTACTGGACCTGTAGAGTGCCAGCATTCCCCTTCTTTGGGGTAACAGGATTTGCATGGGGGCATGTGGACCAGTGCTCAGCACCACTTGCTGACCTCTCTACCTCCTTGCTTCCAGATAAGCCCACAGTCCCTCCTTGAATTGCCACTGCTATGTTCTCAGTACTGAGTCTAATTGTCTGGCTTGAAGTCAAGGCCACCATGCCAAGTTTCCAACTTAAACATGGTGGGCAGCAGGACAGGAAGTGGCCCCAGCTTGTGCTGTGACTTCCAGGGTGCTTCTTTTGGTGTGTTTCTGGAGAGGACAAGGACACCTTTGCTTCTTCTCCATACCCCAAACTCAAAGGCTCCCACCAACTGAGAGTTACAAACTCAAATGGAAAATCAGCAGACCCAGCAAAAAGCAGGCCAGACAATTTCCAAACACTGCATCTGGTAGCATATTAAGCACATAAGAATATTCTTCATTTTGACAAAAAATAGAATCTTTCTCAACTTTCTTGACACATCGGAGCCTATTGGTCAAGTCTACCTGCTTTTATAATAAGCACATGGCTGGCTACTTGAGTGGCTGATGCAGGAGGATGAAAAGGTGAAGGAATGCCTAGGCTACAGAGAAAATTGAAAGTCAGCTCAGTTGATGATAAATTAGTGAGAACTTGTCTCATTTTTTTTTTAAAAAGAATGAAATATAGCTCAGTGGTAGAGCACTTGCCTAGCATGTGTGATACCCTGGGTCATCCCCAGTACCAGACCAGACCAGACAAAACAAAAAACATGGATGCAAAGGGATTTTCTGTCTTTCCTAACTGTACTAATGAGACCAAGAGCAACATATTATAATAAATATAGTAGTCTAATAAATGACAATGGGCACTTGGTCTTCATGGGAGGGTGACAGTAGGGAATGGTAAGAATTGTGGCAAAGTAGAGAGCCAGGTCCTGTGTAAGGGGGCAGCCCATGTTGAACCCATGCAGACTGCTGTCCCCTAAGAAAATAGGCTCACATATGGTCAGAGGTGAATGTTTTTTTTAAACATGAGTTGCCAATGTTTTTGTGTATAAATTTGAAGCAGTGATCATAAATTCAAAATATGAGCTATCTCCTGGCTAAGAGATGGTATACCTGACCAATCCTGTCTAACTAAGTCTGGATCCAGGGGCTGTCACCTTCTAAGGTTTTCTTTGTGTTGGGTTAGTGGTGTGGCCACACAGCCTCATTTTCAATTAAGAAAGATGCTATAAGCCAGTGCATTGGGACACACCTATAATCCCAGCACTTGGGAGGTATAAGCCAGAGGTTTTCAAGTCCAAGGCCAGTCTGGATATGCGGCAAGGCGCTGTCTCAAAACACTAAGGGCTAGGGATGTAGCTCAGTGGTATGACACTTGTCTAGTGTGTACAAAGCCCTGGGTTCCAGGTTCCAGGCTCAGTACACACACACACACACACACACACACACACACACACACACACACACAGGAATTTAAAAAAAAATCCTAACAATTCATTCCATCATTCATGAAGAAGAGTTCCCCAATACACCAGTATAGTCATGATTTTCTTGTTTTGTTTTGCCTAGGATGGACCGACCCAGTGCCTTGTGTTTGCTAAGCACATGCTGGACTACTGAGCCCCACCCAGTTCCAATGTGGCCTTGATTTTTGAGGACACTTTAATGAGACCTTACAATTATGCTCGCCCACAAACAGTACCAGGTGTCTCTGTCAGCGGGAGAGTCAGCCAGTGGGACCATGGAATTCCCAACGTCCCCTTCTTCCTGGCCAGCTACCTACAGCCAAGGAAAATAACTACCTCTGCTCTGGTCAGCACCACCCTCCCCTGAAGCCCTGCAGAAAGTCTTGGAGCCCTGGTTCAGAGAAGAGGAGGCAGGGCTCCCCTCTTCCAGACCTCCTGTGGGTCACCCCACTGCTGCTTCCGGGGGTGTGGGTGACAGGTGGGACACAGACACTTTGGTCTGTCAGCTGCCTAGGCAAGAGAGAAGCAGGCTGCTGATCTCCAGCCAGACTGAGCCACTCTTGGAAAAGGATGGGGACTCATCTATCCCACACGCTGGCAAACTGGCAAGAGCGGAAGTATTTGGTAACAGATGGAGCTGGTGGGGCTGTGGGGAAACAGGCTCCTGCTTAGTAGGTAAGATGGCTGCGGCTGCTGGTTGTGAATGTAAATGACCTTTGACTCAACTCTAACACTTCTAGGAATTTCTTCTCCTGATAAGTACGCTCATATGCACAAAGCCACACACAATAGCAACAGCCTAAGAGTCTGCTATGAAGGACTTGCTCAATAAATATAGTCACAGAGTAGAATATTATACAGCTGTGAAAATAACCAGGTCTCCTTTTACCTGCTCACTAGGATTTCTCTCCTAGATATATTAATATATGAAAAAGCAAGGTACAAACATGTTGTCATTTATACAGAAGTATGAAAAGAATATGTATCTTTTTTTCTGTTTATACCTAAGACACTAGAACAGATAAAATGGCTAATATTGTGGGTTTCTGGGGGGAAAACTGGTTGGAATTATGGGAAAGAAAAACAAACATTAGGAGCCAGTTCAGTGGTTAAGAACACTGGCTATTCTTGCAGAGAACCTGGTTCAGTCCCCAGCGTCCACATCAGGTGGCTCACAACCACCTGAAACTCCAGTTCTAGGGAATCTGACTCCCTCTTCTGGCCTCCAAGGGTGTTGTACCTACATGGTGCATATACATACATGCAGGCAAAACACTTATACACATAAAATAAAAATAAATAGGTCTTTAAAAAAGCAATAAAGGTGTCCGCATGCACTTTTGATGTCTTGGAACACAGAAACAGATTCCTTTCCTGGTAGAGACAGACTTAAAGTTTGCAAAATGGCAAGCTTACAAACAGGTGCGAACACTGCCCATGCCAAACTGTCATCCTGGGCACAGCCCTCTTGATTCCTGAGCTCTCGGGCCATGGCTCTGGGGTTTCACATTTCCATCCCCTCTCTCATCCTCATCCTCAGGTGATGCAGGAAGCTGGGTGCACGACCAGTGCTCACCTACCTGCTCCTTCTCTGAATACGGGTTGTTGAGGATGACGGGCACGTTGCCCTTCCCCCACAGGTCGTTGAAGACTCTGTCATTCTCCCCACCCAGGGGCAGAGCTTTGTATGGCTTGCCATCGGGGTCTCTGAAAGACAAGGTGGTCAGGTGAGAAGGCTTCAGCTTTGATCCAAGAGTCCTGTGTCTGTATAGAACCCTGGCACACACACAGGCCTCTCTGTAGAGCCCATGAGCTTGTGTGTCTTCATAAGCATCCCCAGGGCCTTGGCGGAGGCAGCCCCAGGCTCATGCACAAAGCTTCCTGGCTGAGGCTTCAGCATCCACTGCCCAGACTTCACTCACTCCTCCCCTTCCCTGCTTCCCTGGTCTGGGAGCCCAGAGTCCCACCTTCCAGTGGAACTGTAGGTACTGTGGCACATAAACACCCAGGACAGTGAGTGACGGGAAATACAGGAGGTGTGAGGGATCCAGGCCCTGCAGGCTAGGACTAAGAGTTATTTTTGACCCTGATCAAGCCTGTGGGCTTCCTTTCAAAAGCACCAGCTCAGGGGACACAGTAACAAAAACAGTAACACTAACTGGGAGTGCTGTCTCACGCCATTAATCCCAGTACTTGGGAGGCAGAAGCAGGTGGATCTCTGTGAGACTGAGGCCAGCCTGCTACATAGGGTGTTCTAGGCTAGCTGGGGCTACAGGGAGACCCTGTCTCAAAAAGATGCAAACAAACAAACAAGCAAGCAAACAGTAATACCATTCACAGTGACAGCTAGTGCTTATTAAGCACGTTCTTTCTATGTGCCAGGCACCGTACATATGGTTTGTGAGTACACATGTACAAGTGGAAACCAGAGATCAGTCTCAGGTGTTGTTCCTCAGGAGCTGTTCACCATGTTTTATGGGTCTCACTGATCTGTAGAGCATCAATTTCGCTAGACTGCTGGCCAGGAAGCCCCAGGACCCTCCCATCTCCATATCCCCATGCTGGGATTTCATACATGGACCACATTTTTTTTTTTTTCACATGGATTCTGGAGATCAAATTCAAGTCCCCATGCTTGAGTGTCAAGCACTGTACCAACTGAGCCATCTCACCAGCCACTTTACGTGCATGCGTTTTCACTCACTTAACCCTTGAGACATTCCCATAGGGTAGGGATGAGGATTAACCCCATGTTTATAGCTGATGTAGGTAAGAAAGAGAAGGGGCTGTGATGGTTAGTATTTGTACACTCAGAAGAATCTGTAATCTGTGGAAAATTAGCTTGATTAGTTTAATTGGTGTGAGACGACCCATTGTGACTATGTGAGGGGGCACTCCCTGGGCGGGTGACCCTGAAGCACGCAAAATGAGAAAGTGAGCTGAGCACCAGCATTCATCCCTCTCAGTTGTGGATGTGATGTGATCAGCTGCCTCAAGCTCCTGTTAATTCATAGTTTTCTTATAAACCTCATGAATTCATTCATTCAACAATGCAGACTTCTTTGTTCTACAATCTCTCACTCCCTCCCTCCCTCTCTCCCTCCCTCCTTCCCCCGTCCCTCCCTCCTTCCCTCCCTTCATTTCTTGCTTTTGTCAGAGTGTTTTATCACAGCAATGGGAAAAGTAAACTAAGGCAGTGAACAAGGTCACAAATGGTGAGTCGTAAAGCCACATCTTCCTGCTGTTCACATCCACTTTGCAGTAGAGGCTCTCAGTACCTTCATCTAATCACCATCATTATCCAATATATCCTCATCATCAGCACCATTGCTACTACCACAGGCACTCTCACTGTCATCATTGTGACCTTTGTCACATCATACTCATCACCATCATCACCACCATCACCATCATCATTACCATCACCATCATCAGCACCATCAGCACCATCACCACCACCATCATCACCACCACCACTATCATAAGCATCATGATCACCACCATCACCATCATCATAATCACCATCACATCACCACTATCATAACTACTATCATGACCACCATCATCACCATCACCTCCACCACCTCCACCTTCATTATCAGATCCCTACCATCATCACCAACATTATCATCACCATCATAACTATCATCCTCATTATCACCATCATCATCACCATTATCATTACCAGTATAACAGTTATCTTCATCATCACTATCATCATCACCATCACCATCTTCATCCCCCTCTTTGCCATGACCATCATCATCATCTTCATTCCCACCACTACCACCACCATCATAATCATCATTGTATGAGGAAGCTGAGGCTTCATGATTTTTGTCTTTCTCTTCCTGAGGGCTGCCCTCCTGCTTCCCTGTCTCTGTTGTTGCTCCATCCAATTGCTGTTGCCCCTTCCTGACACACCAGGTCCCCAGCTTCAGGCCATGAAGCTTGCTGTGTGTCCTATCTCAGTACGGAGGCCCAGGCATGCAGGCTTCTCGTGTCTAGCCCTCTGTGTTACCTTCTCATGTTTGGGGACTCCTCAGTCCCACATTCTGCATGGATAATAATTTGGGATGAAGCAGGAGCTGGGGAGGGGCAGTTCTGAGTGCACAGTCCAGAGTGGTCCCCCTGCTCACTGCAGCCAGGCCAGCCTGACCTCCCCTGGCTGGGTTTCTCCCAGTCCCTGTGGCCTAGCTGCAGCCATGTCTGTTCTTCCTCTACGAGAGGTTTGCATCAATCAGAGGGAACATTCTGTTTCACTCTTTAAAATGTCACCCAAACATCCCTGGAGTGGCTCTTGATGGCCGGTGTTTCCCAAGTCAACGGATTACCTGTGAGGCAATTAACAAGAGAACTGTCTGTAGAGAGCTGTTGCAAATGTCACTCACCTCCATTTCAGCTCTGGAATGCCTGAGCTGGTGGTATCATGTGACCACAAATGGGGCCTCAGCAGACAAGGGAGGAGGTTAATGCATTTGGGGACATCTGTAATGTACCAGGTACTTACACAGAAGTTATTTCACCTCATCTTACAAGCCATCCAGAGCTCTGATTTTCAGATGAGAAATGGAGCCCAGAGAGGTGATGCATGCTCCCTAGAGCCCCACAGCATGGAGCACAGCTGGGATTCAAAGCCAGGTCTGACTGATGCTTGCTAGCTTAGCTCCTTCTGTGTTAAACACACACACACACACACACACACACACACACACACACACACACGCACAGATGCACACATGGAAGACAAATCAGGGTATTTATTCTCAGTCACAGGTTACAGAGTGAGAAACCCAGCATTTATGAGTCTATTACCTAGGAAACTTGGAAATGGATCGTCTTGTGTGACGTTGCAAGTTTAGCATCATTCATTTTTTTTTGAGCCATGAACACCTTTGTTTAAATAATGCATTTGGGGTGTTTTACTAACACACTTATTTTAGAGCTGTGTGTGAGGCACAGAGAAGGTACTTTAAATATGGAGCCCTGGGAATGCTCAGGGTGAGCTGTCTGGTTTCTATGTACTTAGGTGCAAATTCAGGAAATCAGATCCCCCACTGTCTGTGAGAATCAGGTCTGAGGGACTGCGTCTGCATGTGGCTGCCATGTGACTGTTCCCAGGGCATCCCATAGTGTCTGCTGCCCTGTGGTGGGCTCACGGCCTCCAGAGTGAGGACCAGGCAAAACTCAGGCCAGCTCTTGGCTTTGCTTATTACCAGCCATGCACCTCTGGATGTGAAAGCAGCCTCAGCCTGCCTTAACCTGTTCTTCCTCATATGAGGGTTAAGGACAGCACAGGTGACAGTCCAGGGAGGACATGCTTCTGTTGCACTGCTGAGGGCACTTGTTAGTGGCCCTTCCTACCTGTCCCTTTGCTCACGGCCTCATCACACATGCCAGAGGTCATTCCAGTCCTATAGGAATGGCTGGCCATGATGGACACTTTTCATGTCTGCCACTAGCCACACATGAACACTGGGCACTTGGTACATGGCTCTTGACATTCAGAAGTAAAATCCTAAGTAAATGTGATCAGGTTCTCATCTTCCCCAGCTCATGTCTCCACATAGCTGCACATATCTGCGTATATCTGGTACATATCTGCACATATCTGGTACAAACAAGACACAGACTATGTAGATGTTCCTTAACAATGAAGGGAGCTGCACTCCAGAGATATCAGGCCACTTGTCCCGGTCACACAGTCAACAGAAGTTTGCTGAAGCGGTGCCTGCTTCCTGCTCTTGTCCCAACTGTTCCCTTATGCAGGGACCCTGGGGGGATGTATTTGGCCAGACCAAACACTCATGAATACTGAATATTAAATTATTCAATATTAAATTTATTCAATATAAAATTTTAAATTACATTTTACTTATTTATATAAATAGCACACAATGTGTGCTACTGTGCATGTGTGGAGGTCAGAGGACAACCTGTGAGTTGGTTCTCCTTCCATCATGTGGGCCCCAAGGGATCAAACTCAGGTCCTCAGGCTTGGCAACAAGTGCCTTTACCCACTGAGCCATCTACTGGGCCCCAGAGCTTTAAATTTAAATGCTGGACAATGAGGTCAGTGCACTGACACCAAATTTGGTAATGGTTTAACTATTTCCTCATTTAAAAAAAGTCACTGGAAACCCACAGATGCCTGTGCTTGGTGTGTGTGTGTGTGTGTGTGTGTGTGTGTGTGTGTGTGTGTGTTTCTACTTCTGGGAAGGAGGGACTGGTGAATCCCTTTCACCATCACTCATGAGTCCCCGGCCATTCATCCGCTTGGAGTGATCTTTGTTTAGCCGAGACTGTCTCAGTCTCAACTGTGGGCATTTTGAGTGTGATCTTTCCCAGGCCTTGTGCAATGCTGAGCTTCCTGTCTGGCTTCTATACCCCCTCCCCCTGAATCCCATAACAGTGCCCAGCCCAAATGATGACAGTCAAAGATGTTTGTGGACACTGCAACTGAACGCCCCTGATGAGATGTGCTGGCATAGGTGTGGCCCAGCATCCCTGCCTCCTGTGCCCCAGTCCCTCCTAGCCCTAGAGCTTGCCCACTGTAGACCTGTGGAGATAACTCACTGTTTTGAGAGTACCTTGGTTCCAGATGAGATTGAACAACTTGCTTTCACTAAGTGATGCCCAACCCACCACTTCTTGGATGTCCCTATCTTTCTGGGAAAGTCACCTCTCCCTAAAGGCAGTGTCCCCAG